GAGAGAGAGAGAGAGAGAAAGGGAAATTTCAGTCAAGTATATCACGCGTGATATATCGCATGGTATCAAGTGTCGGAGAGTGAATTCGATTTATCGTTTGTCGCGCGCGAACGCGTCCCGTCCTCTGTATTCGGGAATCGTGCGGTAGGCAGCTGGTGCTCGTGCGAAAAAACCCGACGTGTCGGCAGGCTCGCGCACGCCGAGAGAGAGAGGATCTCTCTTTTCGCCGTGGCCATCGGCCGTCTAATTTTAAGTGTTAGATAATGCACACCGGTGCGCACCGGTGCGCTCCGTTACTAAAACGGTACAGCGCCGGCGATGCACACACGCTTGCTCGCCAAGCGCGCACGCTCGTTCACGCGCTAACACCATTGGCGTGGAAACGCTTCTTGGCTCGCATCGCGCCGCGCCGACGACGAATCGCGGAAGCGATCGCGAGAAGAAAGCGCGAGGGGGGAGAGAGAGCGGAAAAAGAGAGTGTACGATTAGTTTACATCCGCTACGTCCCTGATTCCTTTAACGAATCCCGCGGGAGATCGACCGCCACCGGAAATCTCCTCATCCGGGATTTCGAAAGTCGCCAAGGGGTTTTCCCCTGCCTTCCAAATTTCCACTTTTCAACCCAAGACTCGGTTCCACCGAGTGTGCTCGCCCTCGCCCCGGGCTGTTTATTATTTCACGAGATCTCTCTCTCTCTCTCTCTCTCTCTCTCTCCGGAGACGGCTTATTAACGTTCCCTTTTTCCTTCTGCACGTACGTACTCTTCCCGGTGAGCAGATATTCCCTGTCAGCCACGGATTCTATCTATCGCCGTCTTCCAAATCTTCTTACCGGGGCCGATCCGGGGAACACGCTTCGAGCGGTTTTTCCATCACCGGCGTGATCTCTCATCCGCGTTTCACCCTTCGCCTCGTTCGTTCGTTCTCTCGTTTTTTCTACGCCGCTGAAAAGAAAACTCCGTGAAAGCTTCGCTTGTTCACCGCAGCAGACTGCTTTTTCTTGTCTCCGCGTCGCTTACTCCGATCGACTTAACGACATCGCGATCGGCTCGGTTTCATCCACAGTTTGCGCCTAATTGCGACTTATCCTCCGTTCTCAGCCGCTTTTTCATGCGCAATTTTCTTTTTCTCTTCTCTTTTCGTCTCGTTCTTCCATGAACTGCCAACCGATTCACTTTTCTTCCATTCTAC